TCTGTGCGGGACACCCAATTACATAGCTCCTGAGGTGCTGAGCAAGAAAGGACACAGTTTCGAGGTGGACGTGTGGTCCATTGGGTGCATCATGTGAGTCAGGAGCTGTCTCAGGCCCTTCTGAGACATCTTAGCTGGCTGACCTCATACTATGGCTTTCTACTTAGTGGGAATTTTGTTCTAAAGTACCTGTTGCCCCAAACACAAAGCCTTACTCTTCTTACTCCTTTTCCCTTTGGTGGGCCTTGTAGGGCCCCGCAGCAGGGGCTGTGGGTGCAGGGGAGGGGGCCGAGGCCTCCGCTTTGTGCCAGCCCCTTCCTACTTGCCCAGAAAGTGGTCTTGATCTGAATCCCTGAGGCAGCATCAGGGACTCTGTCAGCGGTGCAGAATCCCAGGACCAGGTCACTTAGCAGGCATCAGAGAGGGTCCTAGGTTTCGTTTAGAAGCATTGATCCACACTGGGTGGGCGCGATTCAGCCTGGAATGACAGCCCTCTGAGGGGGGCTGTGGTGCCTAGAACAAGGTGGGGGCGCAAAGCTTTGGGCGTTTAAAATTACCTTTTTTTTTTTTTGCTGTTTTTTGGCTTGGGTGCTGGAGAGTTTGACATGAATTGCAATGGTTTTCATACTTATTTGTAGTGGGGCTTTTTTTTTTCCCCAAATAAAAACTAAGTCTTTAAGTTCAGATCCTCTAAACACAGTGCTCCTCTCTGGGCACAGGTGGCCAGCCACTGTGGCCTGTTGTGGGGCCCAGTGGCCTGTGAGGCCCCTGCAGAGTCTGGTCACAGCAGGCTGAAGCCGAGCAGTCCCTGGCCCACTGGAATCCAGGTCTCCTCACCGCATTGACTTGAGAATTGATGCAGCCAGTAGTTTCAGGGGCTGCTAAGTACGTTGTCTTCAGGAGCCTTCGAGGTGACGTGACTCCGAAGGATGTGTGGCTGGGCCTGGTGGCACACGCCTGCAATCTCAGCACTCGGGAGACCGAGGCAGGAGGATTATTGAGTGTGGGAGCAGCCTGGGCCACAAAGTGAGCTCAAGGCCAGCCTGAGCTGCAGAGCAAGACTCTTGCAAAAGACACAACAACCCAAAAAGAAGGACGGCAGCTCTGCCTGGGCCCCTGGGGCAGCTCTTCCTGTTCTGGCTGTCCCCGGACCCTTTGGCCAAATCCCACCTTGTACTTACAGGTACACCCTGCTAGTTGGTAAGCCACCTTTTGAGACCTCTTGCCTAAAAGAAACCTATCTCCGCATCAAGAAGAATGAATACAGTATCCCCAAGGTGACTAACAGCGCTTTAAATCTATGTTGCTTTACTGTTCTCTGAAAGCCGAGTCCTGTACAGACAGATCGGGCCTGTCCCTAGGGGTGGACAGCAGCTGGGAGAGTCTGTGTGTCTGAAATTGCCCCCAGAGCTTGGCGCACGTGTACACGTAGGCTTCTCCAGGGAGAGCTTGTGGGTTCATGGCGTGCCCTGCGCACAGTAGGTGCTCGTGGAGTTGTCAGCTGAGGTGCAGCCACGGGCTTCCCAGCGACAGATCAGTGTTGATTTTTGTAATCACGGCATAGATGCATTCAAAGGAGGAGCCTGTGTCTGTAGGAGCTGGCACATAGCCAGCGCCCAGAGTGGTGGCAAAGGCCGTGTGCTAGCTGAGGTGGGTGTGGTTCCTTTCAGGCATGGGATTCAGTCTCCTGTGCCTCTTTTCCATTCGTGGTGAAGGGTGCTAGTGGAGCTCGCTGGCCCACTAGCTGCAGAGTTTCGTGGGGGCCAGGTGAGGTAACACAGGAAGCACTTAGACACCTCCCTGGCACGTGGTAGGTCCAGGGCTGGTGCTGAGTGTCCCAACACCGCTCACCTGTGCTCGGTGACGCCCCGGGAGCCTCTGCAGGACCCTGAGCACACACGGTGTGAGCGCTCATGTTGTAGGTGCAGACACAAAGGCTCTGGAAAGCCCAGGAGACTTGGCATGGCTGCTGTAAGAGGCGGGTCTGGGATTCAGATGCAGATGTTAGGGTTTGAGGCCTGTGTGCAGGGCACAGTCGGGGGGCCGGGGGAAAGAGTACCCTAAGTTAATCTTCAGTGTCAAGAGAAAGGCCAAGTGGTCATGCTCACCGTTTAGGCAGACACTTGTTGAGGACGATGTGGCACTGCTTACAGCCCTGAGCCACAGCTTGTTGGAGAACTGGAGGTGGGGCTGGCCAGCTGGGCTGCAGGCCCCTGTGCAGCGCTGCGCTTGGGGTCCTGGTCGCATCCTGCCTAAGGTGTTCTCTGCTGCAGCACGTCAACCCCGTGGCTGCCTCCCTCATCCAGAAGATGCTACAGACGGACCCCACTGCCCGCCCCACCATTCACGAGCTGCTCAAGGACGAG